CAGCACAACTGGAAGAGTGTAATTGATGTCACCGAATTGTTCGTGTAGAAACTTTCAAAATGGTGTAAATTTGGCTATGTTTATTTTCACCAAAAAAAAGGTCCTCAAGGTCGAGAAGGGAGAGTGTTGATTTGTCGTCAGGTTGTTAACAAATGTCATAAAACAATATGTGTACTGACTGTTTAATGAGAAACTTTTTGTTCTGTAAACCTTCATCTAAAGTACGATAAAAACATTAAAAAAAAAAAAAAAAAGAACATGGGTTTCTTCTTGCTTCTTGCAGTCCCATCTTTATCCTGTGGCTTTAATCCTCATGGCGAAAGGTGGCTGGTCCACCTCCAGCCATTCACATTCCAGGTAAGAAGAGAGGAGGGTCAAACCTTCCTCTCTCCCTCTTCCCAGCAAAAGGAAAACTTCCCAGGAAAAGTCAGCCAGTGGGTTTCAGCTTACATCATTTTGCTTAGAACTGGATCACACGGCCACCCAGCTGGAGGATGAACACCTTTCTCCAGGTCACTTGCCACCCTAAGCAATAGTTGGACACAGGTGGAAATGAAGTGAGGAGAATGGATATTGGGTGGACAACCAAGATGGTGTGCCTCACCATGCATATGTGTCTAATAACTACATCTCAGCTACACCCAGCTCGCCCTGTGGCAATTTAGACAAGTTCACAAAACATCATCCTCTGCCTCTTGGTCCACACACCTCTTTCTGATCTCCTCCTCACCCCCGAGCCTAAACCTGACCAGGGATGCATCCAGGCTCTTCCATCAGGAGGAAAAAGCACGGGGATGGTGCTTGCATCTTGGGCGGGTAGAGAATCAAGCACACTGCTTCCCCTAAACTCTTCACCATAGTCTTTGTGGATGTTGAGTCACCATATACTTTAGTTTTCTAAGTGCTGTTGTAACAGAAATACCACAGGTGGTATCCCTTTCACTGACGGCCATGCCCGCAACTTTCTTTGGGGAACTTATAGGCGTATCTACAGAAAATAGTGCCTATGGCAAGCACTGAATTTGCGCCCATCCAAACGTCTGGCACCCATCTTTTAGATAACTTTACCATAATATCAGCTCACAAATACAAGTCAAGCTCGTTAATCTTTTAACACATTATGGCACTACATGAAAATTATAACTGCCTCTTCCTTGCTTTTACTGATGAGAATTGGTCTATAAGGTGCTCAAAGTCATTTTTTTTCAGTTTCTTCTCTTTCTACACTCAGCAGAGCAAGTTCATACAGTCTTCCCTGATCCATGGAGGCTCTCAGATATGAAAGTATAAGTTTTCACTTGCTGAATGATGTCTCAGAGCTGGTGATGGAAACTGCCATGGTTAATAGAAACTGCTCAGTGGGCCCGCCCCCCCCTTCAAGTGGCTCGCAGGGCACATGCCATACCTGTCATACCTTAGATATGCCTCTGTCAGGGAACCGCCCTGCCCCTAGTTACTGATGAAGGGATGACTGGGGAATCCTTGTTGTAGGATGTGGCCCTACTTTCCTTGGCCAGAGCTGACTGGGTCCAGATTCAACACCTGACCCAAGAGTAGTGAGCCAGATTCTCTTTCTGTCTCTCTCTCTCACACACACACAAACACGCTCATCTTGAACTAAGAAAAAGCCAATAATATCATGGGGAGGCAGAAGCTATGATAGGTCACATGGAGCTGATATGATGAGGAAGCAGAGGACATCCATTGGAGAAAATGAGACGAGAGAGACCACGGAGAAAGATCATTAGGGATGATAGAGAGTTCCCGCAGGCAGCAGCTTCTGTCCTGAGATTTTCCAATTTCAATTCATGGATATTCTTTTGCCTCCCTTTTCTACTCTGGGGCTACTAGAAGCAAGGAGAGGCAAGAAAGGATCTTCCTCTAAAGCCTTCAGAAAGAACATGGCTCCGCTGGCACCCCGAATTCAGCCTCCAGAACTATAAGACAATAAATGTGTGTTGTTTCACTTAGGGGACACAGAGCTTCTGTTAGGGGTGATGGAAAAATTCAGGAATGGTTAATGGAGATGGTTGAACAACGTGACGAACATATTTAATGTCACTGAATTGTACATGTGTTGTTTTCGTTGTTAGGTGCCATCAAGTTGGTTCCGACTCATAGCGACCCTATGTACAGAAGAACGAAACACTGCCCGGTCCTGCGCTGTCCTCATAATCACTGCTATGCTTGAGCCCATTGTTGAAGCCACCTTGTCAATCTATCTCGTTGAGCCTCTTCCTCTTTTTTGCTGACCCTCTACTTTACCAAGCATGATGTCTTTCTCCAGGGACTATTCCCTCCTGATAACATGTCCAAAGTTATGTGAGACAGAGTCTCACCATTCTTGCTTCTAAGAAGCATTCTGGCTGTACGTCTTCCAAGACAGACTTATTTGTTCTTTTAGCAGTACATGGTATATTCAGTATTCTTTGCCAACACCATAATTCAAAGGCATCAATTCTTCTGTCTTCCTTATTCATTGTCCACCTTTTGCATGCATATGAGACGACTGGAAACATGTACATGTGAAGCTGGTCGAAATGGCAAATGTTTTGTTACTCATGTATTTACCACACACACACATACACAAAGATTTCTGTTGTTTAAAGCCACCCACTTTGTGGCACATTCTCACAGCAGCCCTAGGAAACGAACACAATTGACAGATGCTAAGAAGATGAAAAGCAGCTTGAATGGGTGTCCGTTTCTTGCAATGGAAATAACCTAAAACAGCCAACACAATAACCCAGAGAGGAGAAGTGACTTGTTTGTGGTCACCCAGTGCTATAGATTGAATGTGTCCCCCCAAAATATGTGTTGGAATTCTAATCCCTGTACTTGTGGATGTAATCCCATTCGGGAATAGGGTTTTCTCTATTATGCCAATGAGACCATATCAGTACAGGGTGTGTCTTAAGCCAATCACTTCTGACACATACAAAGATAGGATTAGGCACAGAAGCTAGCAAGCATAGATGGGGGAAGACAGATGTCACATCACATGAAGATCACCAAGGAACTGAAGAACAGAAGCTGAAAAGAAACAAGGACTTTCCCCCAGAGCAGACACAGAAAGAAAGCCTTCCCCTAGAGCCAGTCCCTAAATTTGGACTTCTAGCCCCCTAAACTGTGAGAAAATAAATTTCTGTTTGTTAAAGCCACTCACTTGTGGTTTTTCTGCTATAGCAGCACTAGATAACTAAGACATCCGGCAATTCAATGAGTGACACGGGGAAAGAGGCCACACGCAGAGTCCACTTCTCCTCACTTTATTTCTGGAACCAGATTAGGGTCACAAGTGCAGAGAAGGGATAGACCCTGAGCCTGAGGGAGGAAGCACTGTGGAGACTAGTCATTCTGAGAACTGTCCTCAGGATCCAGCTAGACAGACAAGGTCAGTGCACGGTCAGAGAAGGGGTCTTCTGACTCCAAGAGACATTCAGGGGGAGGGGGGTGCTGGAGAGATCAACATCCTTCAGAAGTAATGGAGGTCTGGGAAGAGTGTTGGGGTTCCTGTAGGAGTGGGGACTTGCGGTGGTGGAGAGGGGAGCTGAATGCTGGGTCCTGGGATGACTCATGAGTTCTTTCGGATGGTGTCACGGATCCACTTGGTGAACTGGCAGAGGTTGGTGTAGACGCCGGGACTATCACAGGGGAAATGTCCCCAGGACACGAGGCCCTGCAGCATGCCATTGCAGACCACGGGACCCCCGGAGTCACCCTGTGGCAGAGGGAGAGGGGAGCAAAGAGAGAGGCAGAGATGTGGAGAGGTGGAAGGAAGGAGACAGGAGACTCCAGAGAAATGGAAATGGACAAGGAGAGCAAGAGACACGGACAACAAAGTGGAAATTACAGAAGAGACACAGAAAAAGAGATGGAGACAGAGGTAAAAAGAGAAAAAGACAGAGAGGAAGAACGATATGAATATGTTACCACAAATCCAACCTTTAGAAACCTCATTTGCCCTTCCCTACCCAACCCCTAAGGTCTCTAGGTGGCACAAACAGTTTTCACTGGACTGCTAACCTAAAAGGTTGGCAGTTCGAACCCACCTAGCAGAAGAAAAGGCCTGGAGATCTGCTTCCATTAAGATTAGAGACAAGAAAATCCTATGGAGCAGTCCCACTCTGTAACACTTGGGGTTGCCATGAGTCGGAATGGACTTGATGACAACCAGTTTTTCTCCAAACATCTCCATTTCTGACCTTGCCTCTCAGCATCTCCTTTCTTTGTCTCTATTCCCTGTCTCTGTCTGTCTCCCTCATCTTGTGTGTCTCTGTCTCTCTCCATAACCCTTTGTTCTCCTCTCCAGCCTTTGGATGCCTTGTTTCTCCTACTGCACACTCTCCTCCTTCCTCCCTTCCTCCCTTCCTCACAACTCACCCATCCTCAACTCAAATCCAACCTGTACTTAAATCTCACTTTCAAGAGATGCAGCTCCCTGCCCCTAGAGAAGAATCTCTCAGTCTCAGCACTGTTGGCACTTGGGGACAGATAGTCCTTTGTTGTAGGGGCTCTCCTGAGCATTGTATGATGTTTAGCAGCATCCCTGGCCTTTACCCACTAGATGCCAGGAGCATGTGGCAATCAAAAACTTCTCTAGACATTGCCAAATGTCCCCTGGGGGGTAAAATCAGCTCCAATTGAGAACCATTGTCTTGGACTAATTTGAATTGCTCATAAAATAAAAAACAAACAAACAAACAAACAAAAAGACCCTGTTGCTGTCTAGTCGATTCTGACTCATAGCGACCCTATAGGACACAGTAGAACTGCACCATAGGGATTCTAAGGAACGATTGGTGGATTCGAACTGCTGACCTTTTGGTTAGCAGCCGGGCTCTTAACCACTGTGCCACATAGCAACCCTTTAATTCCACATAGCTCTGTAACTATTGCGCGCCATCGAGTCGATTCCGACTCATAGTGAACCCATAGGACAGAGTGGAACTGCCCCATAGGGTTTCCTAGGCTGTAATCTTTACGTGAGCAGATCACCAGGTCTTTTCTTCCACGGAGCTGCTTTAACCATTGCACCACCAGGGCTCCTTTATCTCTGTAACTACCTTCCTATAATAGTAATACCATTCTTTACTATCATTTATTATTTATGTTAAGAAGCCCTGGTGGGACAGTAGTTAAGTGCTCAGCTGCTAACCGAAAAGTTGGTCATTTGAACCTACCAGCTGCTCTGTGGGAGAAAGATGTGGCAATCTGCTTCTGTAAAGATTACAGCCTAGGAAACACTATCGGGCAGTTCTACTCTGTCCTAGAGGGTCTTTAGGAGTCTGAACCAACTCGACAGCAACAGGTTTGGTTTTATGGTTTTTCTGTGAATGTGTTGTTTTTTTTTTTTAATTGTGGTGAAAACATATACAACAAAACATATGCCAGTTCTACAATTTCTACATGAGTCGGAATCACTTGATGGCCATAGGTTTACTATGTTTTATGCAAAATATGAATAACCACGTGTGGAGTCCCTGGGTAGTACAAACAGTTACTGTGCTCAACTGGTAACCAAAAGGCTGGAGGTTAGAGCCCACTCGGAGGTGCCTCAGAAGAAAGGCCTGGAGATCTACTTCTGAAAAACCAGCCATTGAAAACCCTATGGGGCACAGTAGCAGAAACTGGTTATAACCTGGTATCAATTAAAAGGAAGCTTAAGGACCTGGCTTCTTTCCCCACTAGCAGACACAGTTTCAAGGAGGAAGAGCTTGGCTGCCTGGACATCTACATTTTTACTTTCTTGTGGTTGAATTTTTCTGATTTTTTTTTTTGTTGTTGTTATTTAATATCCTTGCAGAGTTCCCCTGTCTTTCTTTTGGGAGGCAGTTAGTTAACTACTTGGAGCCTTGGTTCCTCGTCTGCAAAATGGGGCTAATAATAATGATTAAATGAGTTAATAAATTGACGCATGTAAACTACTTAAAACAGTATCTGGGAATTAATTAATTAGCTGCATTATTATAATATTAAGAAGCACTGGTGGCACAATAGTTGAGTGCTTGGCTGATGACCGAAAGGATGGTGGTTTGAACTTACCCAGCAGCTCCGTAGAAGAAGACCTGGTGATCTGCTCCTGTAAAGGTTACAGCCTAGGAAACCCTATGGGACAGTTCTACTCTGTTTCATGGGGTCGCTAAGAGTCAAAAATCTACTCGATGGCACCTAACAACATTACTGTATTATTAGTATTGTTATTATTTCTTGCCTGTAGTAGCTTTTAATGGCCACACTTAGAACATACCCAAGTACAAAAAGGCAACTTGAGGTCCACAAAAACAAACAAACAAAAAACCTAGTTGCCATCAAGTCAATTCTGAGTAGAACTGTGCTCCACAGGGTTTCCAGTAGCTGACTTTTTGGAAGTAGATCACCAAGCCTTTCTTCCAAGGTGCCTCTGGGTAGACTCAAACCTCCAACCTTCCGGTTAGCAGGTGAGCATGTTAACCATTTGCACCACCCAGGGACTCCCTACAATAACAAAGTATTAACTAACTTTGGATACCCAAAAAAACCAAATCCATTGCCTTTGAGTGGATTCTGACTCATAACGACCCTATAGGACAGAGTAGAACTGCCCCATAGAGTTTCCAAGGAGCGCCTGGTGGATTCGAATTGCTGACCTTTTGGTTAGCAGCTGTAGCACTTAACCACTATGCCATCAGGGTTTCCAAAGAAACACTAAATTATTTAAAATGTTGGAATTCTACTCAGATGTGCTTTCTTCTTCTGATAAAATTCCCTCCACCCTGACACTCCGTGTCCACTTATAGGTGTGTGTGCCTATGGTGTTAAGCGGGGGCAGAGATGAAATTTCCTGATAGAAAGACCCGGTAAGTTGTTGCAATTGTCACATCTGTAAAATCTTTGGAGTCTGAAGCTCTGCTTGAGCCCAGGGTTTGTTATTGTTAATTCCTGTCAGGTCGATTCCAACTCATAGCGACCCTATAGGACAGAGCAGAACTGTTCCATAGGGTTTTCTAGGCTGTAATCTTTATGGGAGCAGATCCCCAGGTCTTTCTCCCTCAGAACCACGGGGTGGATTCTAACCGCCGACGTTTAGGTTAATATTGTTGTTGTTGTGTGCCAACTCATAGTGACCCCATGTGACAGAGCAGAACTGCCCCATAAGGTTTCCTAGGCTGTAATCTACAGGGTTGCTATGAGTGGAATTGACTCAACAGCAACAGGTTTGGCGTTTTTTGGTTTAATCTTTATGGAAGCAGATCGCCAGGACTTTCTCCCAAGGAGCAGCTGGTGGGTTCAAACCACCAATCTTTCAGTGACTAACCGAGTGCTTAACCACTGTGCACCCAGGAATCCTTTGTCACATAGTCGGGGTTCAATTTATGTTTTTAAATGAATGTTCCTCCTGCAGGTGCCACCAGGGTTGCCAGGGCCTGGAGCGCTACCCTGGACAGCCTGGTTGGGAACTGCATCTCCCAGGCCCTGCAGGACAGTTTCCCGCTACAAGTGCCCCATGTTCTGGCCAAGTGTCCAGACTTCTTCGCCCTAGCCTGGTGCTGCTGCTCACTGGTAAGGAAGGGCCAGAGACTGGATGGGAAGAGGCAGGGAGCTGGGGTGGGAAAGGCTTGTTGGGTGCTGTCAAGTCATCTTCAGCTTATGGTGACCTTATGTCTTACAGAGTAGAACTGCCCCACAGGATTTCCTAGGCTGAAATCTTTATGGGAGCAGATCACCAGATCTTTTTCCCCTGGAGTTGCTGGTGAGTTTGAACTGCTGACGTTTTGGTTACTGAGCTACTGAGCACTTGAAACATGACTAGTCTGAGCTGAGATGTGCTGTCAGTGAGTGGTGCAAATGGTTAAACATGCTTGGTGCTAACCAAAACGTTGGTGGTTCGAGTCCACCTGGAAAGGAAGGCCTGGCAATCTACTTCCGAAAAATCAACCATTGGAAACCTTATGGAGCACAGTTCTACTCTGACACACACAGGGTTGTCATGAGTCAGAATTGACTCAGCAAGTGATTTGGTTGGCCAGTGTGAAATACACACTGCCTTCCAAAGACTCAGTACAAAAACAAAAAAAAGAATTCAAAATATCTCATTCATAATTGTTTGATATTAATTACGTTTTGAAATGATGGTATTTTAGATATGTGAGGTTAAATAAAACACCTTACTAAAATTAAGCTCGCTTGCTTCTTTTTACTTTTTCAATGTGGCTCCTAGACAATTCAAAATTACCTCTGTGGCTAACATTATATTTCTATCAGACAGAGATACCCCAGAACACTAACTCCATGAGAACAGGGGTCCAAACGGTTTTCATCATCACTGAATCCCCAACACTTGGCACAGTTGCAGATTACACAGTTCACACTTAGTGTGTATCTGCTGAGTAAATGAAGAAGTCTCAAATTCTCACCTGGCAGGAGTCTCTGCCCTTCTCGTCTCCGGCACAGAACATGGTGTGGTCTATCTGGCCTGGGTAGGCCTTCCTGCACCTCTTGTCACTTAGCACAGTGATGTTCAAGCACTGAAGGACCTTGGGGAAGTTAACTGTCCAACAGAGACACACAGATCAGAACTACAATGAGAGGTGGAGAAAGACAGGGCAAAAGGAAGGCAGACACGAGCAGGCATTAAGAGGGACCTGGGAACTCACTGTGGAGGCTGCTGGTTGTTCCCCATCCAGATACCGTGCAGGTGGTCCCGGCAGATGGACAATGGGAGGAGATTCTGATGGGCTGGATGTTCTGACTCTCATAGACTTTCCTGCTCATCTTAATAAGCATGAGGTCATTGGAGTGGCCAGGGTGAGAGTAGCCAGGGTGGGGAATGGATTTGACCCCTCGGAGCTTCCGCTGCCCAGATTCATAGACAGATGGCAGGGAATGTCGACCAAGAAGGATGCTGAAAACGCTGAAGAAGATGGTTCGGATCACCCCCCCACCCTGATCACTACTCCCAAATCCAGTGACAACCCCAGCCCGAAACCTAGTCCAGTCCCTCCACCCCATCCTCAACTCCAGTGCCAACACCATTCCCAACTCCATCTTTATTCCCAGCCCCATGCCTATCCCCACCCCAGTCACATCTTTATCCCCAACCCCATGCTCATCCCATCACCAGCTCTAACTCTAGCTCTAATTCTTTCCCCACCCTAAACCATCAACATACACGTTCAACCACCCCAAATCCAGCCATCCTCAACCTGAAATCCAACCATCTGCAACCCTATCCATAACTCTGACCCTAACCCCATCCTCAACTCTGTCTATCCCTAATTCCGTCTGTATCCCTACCCCCAATTCTAGAGCCAACCCTAATCCCATCTCCATCCCCTAAACCATCAACATATACATTCCCAACCCCAAACCATTCCATCCCATCCCCAACCCCAACTCCTATCCCAGCGTTAATCCTTCCCCCCACTCCCAAACTATCAACATATACATTCCCAGCTTCAAATTCATCCATCCCCAAACCGATCACTAACTCTCACCCCAACCCCATCATAAACTCCATATCTATTTCCAATCCGGATCCTATTCCTAACCCCATCTTTATCCCTCCCCCCTTCCAATCTCCAATCTTCCAATCTCTATACTAAACTATACCTAACTCCCATTCCCTACCACAACCCTCTCCCCAAGGGAACCCCAACCCCACCCCATTCTCCTCCCCAGCTCCATCCCCAACTCTACCTCTCCTGCTCCATCACTCCTGGTCCATCCCGGCCAGACCCTCCCCTCCACGCCCGCTATCCCCCATCCAGCCCTCCCCAACTCCTGTCCAGCCCTGGTCTTGGAAGTCCCCACTCACTGCTTCCTGCAGTGGGCAGCCGTGAGCAGCCACCGAGGAGCCACCAACACTGCGCCGCAGTACAACCGGTTGGGTTTCAACAACAGCGCCGCCTGCCATTTCTGGGAGTGTGCCTCGCAGTCGGACCCGTTTATGATGCGGATGCTGGAGTCGTCCGCTCGAGTGTCTTCCTTAGCTCCAGCTCGAAGGTACTGGATATTCCCCGAGGGCCCGGTGGGCGAGGGATCATCGCAGGAAGCATCATCATTTGCCAGAACAGGCCCTGGGGACGGAACATGGGTGGGGCGGGGCTCAGAGGCCAAAGGTGCAGCCCAGAGCTAATCTAGCCTTCGGGGCGGGGCTTGGGCTCAGGGGGTGGGCCTTAGCTCAAGACGCAGCACCAGCCACAACATGTGACTTCCCTAAGGGGGCGAGGCCAAGGTTTTAGGGGCAGGGCCAGGGTTCTGTGGCGGAGCCTGGAGAATAAGCGCCGAACCAACGAAGATTGAGGCTTAGACTTGAAGGACAGGGTCTGAGTTCAGGTGTTGACACTGAACTCTGGACTTCAACGATTCCTGAGAGTAGCTAAAGCTCAGAGGGTAGGACCTAGCTGCCATGGAGTTGATTCCAACTCATGGCGACCAATTGTGTGTCCGAGTAGAACTGTGCACCACAGGATTTTCAATGGCTGATTTTTCAGAAGCGGATTGCCAGACCTTTCTTCCAAGACATCTCTTGCGACTAGTGGACTCAAACCGCCAAACTTTTGATGAGCAGCCAAGCACATTAACCAGCTGCACCACCCAGGAACTCCTAGAGGTTTGGACAGGGGGAGAGTAAAATTGAGTTCAGGAGCCCTGAGCAATCTCAGGGGCAGAGCCTGGGAAGGACCTGAAACCAGGGCTTTAGGAGTGGGGCCTGGGCTTAGGAAATGGGGTCAGGCCTCAGTAAATGAGGTCAGGACTGGAACTGGCAGAGCCTGAGATAGGGGAGTGGCTTGGAGTGGACTTGGGCAGAGCCAAGGCCAGGGTCACCTGGGAGACTCGATCATATAATGAGCCCTAATTTTGAAAGAAGGAGCCCTGGTGGTGCAATGGTTGAGCGCTAAACTGCTAAGCTAAAGGTTAGTGGTTCAAACCCACCAGCCCCTCCGCAGAAGAAAAGACCTGGTGATCTGCTCCCATAAAGATTTCAGCCTAGGAAACCTTATGAGGTAGTTCTGTTCTGTCCTACAGGGTCGCTAGGAGTAGAAATCGACTCTACGGCACACAACAGCAACAAAAAAAAACAACTTGAGAAGAAACCCTGGTGGGGCAGTGGTTAAGAGCTCTGCTGTTAACCGATAAGTTGGCTGTTCTAACTCACCTAGCAGCTCCGTGGGAGAAAGACCTGGCAATCTGCTCCCTAAAGATTAGCCCACTGCTGTCAAGTCGATTCTGACTCATAGCGAGCCTATAGGACAGAGTAGAACTGCCTCATAGGGTTTCCAAGGCTGTGAATATTTACAGAAGAAGATTGCCATATCTTTCTTGGGTGGAGCAGCTGGTAGGTTCAAATCGCCAACCTTTCTGTTAGCAGCCCAGTGCTTAACCACTGCTCCACTAATGCTCTTCCATAAAGAATACAGCCTAGGAAATCCTGTGGGGCAGTTCTACTCTGTCACATGGGGTCAATATGAGTCAAAAATCCACTTGACGGCACACACAACAACAAAAACTTTGGAAAGGGAGTGGGGAGCTGGGCTCTAGAGGCTGACTGGCAAGACGGGTGGGGGGTGAAGCCTGGCCAAAAGGGGCAGGCCATAAAGAGGGGGTCTGACTGGGGAGGCACAACGCTAGAAGGGGGTCCCTGACTGTAGACTGTTTGACTTTGGGGCACGGTTGAGGGGTGGAGTCAGAGCTCATGGGGCCCTGTGAGGGTTAGGGGGACAAAACCAGGAAAACAGCTTAGCTTGGGGTTTCGCATGGAGTGGGAGAGCAGGGCTGCTTTTTCTGAATTCCCAGACACAAATGTGCCTCCCGCATGCCTCCGTCACTACCCTCCTCTTCCACACAGACCCACAGACAGATACTTTAGCCACCCTACTCAGCGACCAGTCACCCCCGCCCCTTCCCCTAGTCTGCTCGCTGGTTCATAGTCTTGCCAATGAACAAGAGCAGCAAAGCCCTGGCACCACCTTCATTCACACACACATTCCAAGAAATGCGCACACAGCCACCATCACAGATACGCACACATGCCATTACAAAGGGAGACACCCATGGTGTCCACAGGGACAGCTACATGCACAGCTCAGGTGTGGGGTACACACTTGGGGACCACGGTAGATACAGAAAGTCTCACGTGAGATCACACACATGCTCATGATGTGTGTGCATGCATGTAGAGACTGCCGCACACACATCTGCACACAGGCATGTTGCTGGTTACATGGCGACAAGATGACTCTCGGTGGACGTTTGCACCCCCGTACCCAGTATGTCACAATGCAAGTGACCAGTTGTTGTTCCTTGCCGTCAAGTCAATTCCAGCTCATGGCGATCTCACGTGTGCAGAGTACAACTGCTCCATAGCGTTTTCAAGGCTGTGACCTTTCAGAAACACATCACTAGGACTTTCTTCCAAGGCACCTCTGGGTGGGTTCAAACCACCAACCTTTTGGTTAGTAATCAAGCACTTAACCGATTTCACCACCCAGGGACTCCACATAGAGCCACGCATGATCTTAAATGTGCCTACACCCAATCACACAATCATACATATGGCCTCAAAGGGTCAGTCACAGACTTGATATGGGAAAAAGCACTCACACACACACACAGCTACCCACATACACAATCATAGGGTCATGTGTAGTCACACACACACAATTACCAACACAGCCACCTTCAGTCACTCTGGTGGGCGTGCGTGCACACACACACACACGCGCGCGCACACACACACACACACACGGTATTATACGCACATGGGGAAAGCCCCAAAGCTGCACACCAACACCCAGCCTCGCACTGACAGTTATAAATAACCAAAAAAAAAAAAACCCAAAACACAATTCTGACTCATGGCGACCCCATGTGTTGCAGAGTAAAACTGCTCCATAGGGTTTTCTTGGCTGTAATCTTTACAGAAGCAGATTGATGGGTATTTCTTCTGTGGCACCGATGAGTGGGCAATCTTTCTGTTAGTCTAGTGGAAATGCAAAATCAAAACAAAACAAAAGCGTTGCTGTCTGATCCTATAGGACAGAATAGAACTGCCCCACAGAGTTTCCAAGGCAGTAATCTTTACTGAAGCAGACTGCCACATCTTTCTCTTGAGGAGTGGCTGGTGGGTTCCAAGCGTAGATCTTTTGGTTAGCAGCCAAGCTGCTTAATTACTGCACCACCGGGGCTGCTTCACACACACAGACAGTCACCTAAAATCCCAAACACAGTTAGCCAGCATTCACACGCAGGGGTTCGACTACCTGTGACTCTCAGAATCAGGGCTGCGATGAGGGCGCACAGCATCCACGTCCAGCCGGGTCGTGCTGTAGCCATGGCCACCACACCTAGGGGGAGGAGAGGCCCAGGTGATACTGGGAGCCCTCAGCCCACTCCTGTTTCCTGTTCTTCCCATTTCCCCCAGACAGAGGGGCTGAGAACATTGCCCCATCCACCCAGGGACTACAGAGTTCTTGCACCTTCAGTGAGGGTGAGAAGTGGGGGGCTAAAGAGGGAGGTGGAGTGCATCGGAGACCAGCGGCAGCTGTGGGGATGCCTCTACACTCCCCTCACCAGCTGAGTCCCTCAAGCCTCACTTGCCACGTTGCCCAGGTAGGAGGTGGGGAGTCGGTTCCCAGGTCAGCCAGCAGACCTCTCAGGCTTGCCCTGTCCTGCTGCCGTCGCTGCCTCCTCCTCCTCGGCTCGGGCACTGGGCCTGGGTTATAACCACCCACTGGTCCCCGGGGCACATTCCCGGGTGGTGAGGCGCCCTACCCAATCTTAGCAATCACTCCTCCTGCATCCCCCCACCTCCGCCTCCAGAGCACCCCCATGCCTCGCCGAGCGCCACTCCCTACCGCCCGAGCTCTGAGGGATGGGGAGTGGTCTGCAGAGGTAGACTCTCTCCTCCCCGGCCTCCTCCAGCCTCGCGTCTCTGGCCCTTCATCACTTCTGGGTCCCCCTTCCTGGAGCGAGGAATTTTTTTAAAATTTAATTTCCTCTCTGTGCCTCACGCTCATTCCCCCTTTCTCTGCTCCTGTTCTTACTCATCTTTTCACATCTCTGTTCTTCCAAACCCTCCCTTCTCTTTGGTGTTTTTCCTCTGATCTGAGTCTCATTATCTGGCAGCTACCCAGTATCTCTTTTTGGCTTTTTCTCTGTCTCTCTGTCTCTCCCTCCTCCCCCTCTCTCTTTCTTTCATTCCCCCTCTCTCTGGGTCTCTGTCCCCCTCTCTCTGGGTCTCTGTCCTCCTCTCTCTAGGTCTCTGTCCCTCTCACCCTGAATTTCTGTCCCCCTCTCTCTGAGTTTGTCTCCCTCTCCCTGAGTCTCTGTCCCCCCCCCGTCTCTGTCCCCTTGTCTCTGTGGGTCTCTGTCCCCTTCTCTCCCTGAGTCTCTGTCCCCGCCCCCGTCCCTGTCCCTTCTCTCCCACTTTGTTTCCCTCTCTCTCACCCCCCTTTCCTTCCTGTGTCTCTTGTCTTCTGTTTTTCCGTGTCTCTACGTCTTACTCTTTATCTCTGTCTCTGTGATTCTCCTTCCTTTTAATGGTTCTGAGCGCCTTATTTATTAAATATACCTTAGAATTCTCAAGACTTTCATTTTCCCTTCTGCTTTATTATTATTATTTTTTCACATCTTCATTGAGTTATAACTGAGGTACAATAAACTGTGCATATTTAAAGGGTACAATCTGAGTTTTGACATATGTATATATACCCCCACCAAATCATCACCGCAATGAAGATAATGAACATACCCATCACCCCCAAAAGTTTCTTGGAGCGCTTTTAGAAGATTCTCTGATTCCCTTTTTTTTCTGCATCTCTGTCTCTTTTTGTATCTTTCCTCCTGTCTATCTTCTGTCTCTCTTCTCTGTGACACTGATCCTTCTCTGTTTCGCTCTGTGTTTGTATCATTCTCTGTGTGTCTCTCTTGCATTCTCTCCCGCTCTCTCTCCATTTTTCCGTCTTGTTTCTTTTTCTTTGTTCCACTCTCTCTCTTTTTCTTTCTCATTTTCTTCCTGCCTCTCTCTCGCTCTCTGTCTCTCGCTCCCTCTCTCTTTCCATGTCTTTCTGTCTCTCTTATTTCTCTTTCTCTGTCTCTTGCTTTCTCTCTCACGCTCTCTCTCTTTCGTTCTCTTCCCCTTCCTCCCTCCTTCCCTCTCCCTACATTTCTGGCTCTGAGGATCTGTATCTCTATGACTTTCAGTCTCTTTGTCTCTGTCTCCCGCTCCCTGCATTTTGGCCAGATGCTACTTTGCAGAGAGACCCCTCAGCCCCCTCTTGTGCTCCTCACCCTGGGTTAGGGATCCAGTCTGGGCTCGCCACTCCCTCATGGGAGCCTCAGCCTGGCTGTCCAAGCCAGGTGCCAGGTGTGTGAGAGAGTTGGGCAGGGCCACATGTTGATGGGGCAAGAGATCCAGAGGTCAAACTGGGGCGGGTGGCTCCTTGCCCTTTGGGAAATGGGGCGTTGGGTGGGGACAACAAAAGGTAGATTCTCCCCTCTGAGTCCTGGGCCATCAGGGCTGCCTCTCCTGATTTCTCCACTCTGGGTTGTCTTTCTCTCTGTCTGCTCCCAATGTTGTCTCTCAGTATCTGACTTTAACTTTGTCTCCAAGGCAGTTCCCAAGGGGATATAAGTGTCAAACTTTCATTCAATACATATTCACCGGGCACCTGCTGTGTGCCAGGCTCTCATCTAATCGTGAACAAAACTGGCAAAGATGCCCGAAGATGCTGCCCTTTATGAGCTCACTTTTCTTACGGGCAGGAACCTGGCCATCTTGCTCACCTCTATAATCCAGCACCTGTAAAAGGGCAGGTTTTAGAGCCCTTGAGGGTGGTTTTTTTCTTCCTTTTTTTTTATTGTACTTTAGAGGCAAGTTTACAGAACAAATAGTTTCTCATTGAACAGTTAGTACACATATTGTTTTATGACATTGGTTAACAACCCCACGACATGTCAACACTCTCCCTTCTCGACCTTGGGTTCCCTATTACCAGCTTTCTTGTCCCCTCCTGCCTTCTAGTCCTTGTCCCTGGGCTGTTGTGCCTTATTAGTCTCATTTTGTTTTATGGGGCTGTCTAATCTTTGGCTAAAGGGTGAACTTCGGGAGTGACTTCATTACTGAGCTAAAAGTGTGTCTGGTGGCCATATTCTCAGGGGTCTCCAGTCTCTGTCAAGTCAGTAAGTCTGGTCTTTTTTTGTGAGTTAGAATTTTGTTCTACATTTTTCTCCAGCTCTGTCCGGGACCCTCTGTTGTGATCCCTGTCAGAGCAGTCAGTGGTGGTAGCTGGGCACCATCTAGTTGTGCTGGGCTCAGTTGGTGGAGGCCATGGTAGCTGTGGTCCGTTAGTCCTTTGGACTAATCTTTCCCTTGCATCTTGTTTTCTTCATTCTCCCTTGCTTCTGAAGGGATGAAACCAGTGGAGTATCTCAGATGGCTGCTCACAGGCTTTTAAGACCCTAGACGCTACTCACCAAGGTAGAATGTAGAACATTTTCTTTATAAGAGGGTGGTTTTAATGCACAGGAAACACACACACACACACAATAAAACAAAATCTATTCCAAAGTTTTTTTATTTTAATTTTTTTATTTAAATGAATTAATTACATTTGTGATGTTGTGCAACCACTGTCTATTTCCAAAACCGAAACTCTACTCATTAAGCAATAGCTCCCCATTCCTCCCTTGATCTGTCCCCGCCAACACACACAAGCCCCTGCTAACCTCTAACTGACTTTCTGTCTCTATGAATTTCCTTATTCTAGATGGGTTAACACAGTGGCTGCAACAATGGGCTCGAACATAGCAACGATTTTGAGGATGTGCAGGACCCAGCAGTGTTTCGTTCTGTTGTACATAGGGTCGCTATGAGTTGGAAGCAACTTGATGGCACCTAACAATGACAGATATTTCTTATAAGTAGACTCATACATGATGCCTGGTAAAATAGGTGAGAAAATCTATACAGTGAAGGAAGCCACTAATCAGGGGTACACAGCTAGTAAGTGGAAGAGCTGGGATTCCAACTCAGGTTCTTCCAGGCTTGTAACTACTCCTCGGTAGGCAGACATCAAGGCCATGGAATAAGTAGAGATGGGGAGTTGCTTAGAAGGAATTTCCCCACGTTCTTTTATTGGTGGGGGTAGGACCTTACTCTATGCCTTTGCTCACCCCCAGTGATGCAAAGACGGGGCTGGCGTAGAATCAGGGAGAATTTGTGTTCTCCTGTCATTACTTTTATTAAGCATCAAGGATTAAATATGGGCAGGTGGGAAGGGAGGACAAGGTCCTGGTCGGAGATATTCTGGAGCCAGCCAGTGGAGTTGGAGGTCAACATTTGAATGCCTCATGGCAGCGTCTCCTGGCGTTAATGGTTTTTTGGATCCAATTGAAATATCTGCAGATGTTGGTGTAGACTCCTGGCTTATCCTTTGACCCACAGGGGATGTTGCCCCATGATACTAGCCCTCTGGGACGGCCTCCACACACTAGGGGACCCCCAGAATCACCCTGTGAAGAAAAGAGAGAGAGTCAGATACAGAAACCCAGAGACAGAGAGTGAGACAAAGAGACAGAAGGAGACACGAGAGAGAGAGAGAAATAGAGACACACAGAGATGGAGGGAAAGACACAGGGATAGAGAGAGACAGACAGACAGGCAGTGAGACACACACAGTCACGGACAGAGAGAGATGGAGAGAGGCTGAAGGAGATACATGGAGAAACAGAGAGACATGAACACCAAGATCCAGAGAGGCATAGACAGAACAAGAGAAAGAGGCAGAGTAAAGGTTAAGGGTGGAGACCAAAAGGTGGGGAGAGAGGCAAAAGTGCAGAGATGGAGATGGAGAGACAGAGAGAGAAAAGGCAAGAGAGAGGGGTGAGAGACAGGAAGGGAGAAGGGGGGAGAGAGAGAGGAGGGAAGGGAAGGAGAGATGGAGAGAGAGAGAAAGAGCAAGAGAGAACAGATATATCTAAAGATACTGGCAAAATAGCCCAAGACCCTGAGGGAGACAGAGGCAGGAAGATACTGGAAGAGACATAATACAATAAGACACAGGAGAAGAGAGGCAGGTGAGACAGACCCAGGGAGAGAAGATGTGCATTCTCTCCAGGGGTACCTCTCTACCTCCTATCCTCAGGTCAGTCTCAGAAAAGGTGCTTGTGGGTCTGTCATTTCTCTGCATGTCCTTCAGTGCACTGGAATCAGTTTTGGCATAAAGAGGAGAGACACGATGGACAATGATGGAGGAAACTCAAGTTAAAGGTATTATAGAGTGCGGTGCAGCCTTTTCTCTCTCCATCTAAGGTCCCCCTCCTCCCGAGCTTGGCTGTTTCCAAGCAGGACTTGTGGGGATCTGTCTGGGGAAGAGAGTCCCTGGGTTAGCATTGGCTGCTAACAGAAAGTCCACCCAGAGATGTCTCTGAAGAAAGCCCTGGCAAGGTACTTCTGAAAAGTCAGCCATTGAAAACCCTATGGAGCGCAGCTCTACTCTGTCACACGTGGGATCACCATGAGTCAGAATCAACTTCACGGTAACTGGTTGGTTTAAGAAGGAAGTCCCTTTACACCATCCATCTGCCTCCTTATTGTGTCTCTCCTCCTCCATCCTTGTGTGTGCATTTCCTTGTCTCTGGTGACTATGTCTTTATATCTCTGCCCTTCCCTGTTGTGTCTCTCTGTATCGTGATTGAGTCTCTTTTCCTTTTTCTACCTCTGATTTTATCCCAGCCTGGCTATAAAGCTGTATTTTAGTCTGTGTCTCTCTCCCTCTTCATGTCTCTGGCTATATTTTTGTATCTCTGGCCTTGACGGAGTGCAATAAGTTGAATGGAGGTCTCACAAAATATACATCTACTCAGGACCTGTACATACAACCTAATTTGGAAAAAGGGTTTTTGTAGCTGTAATTAAGGATTTGACATGAGATCATTCTGAATTGGTTATTGATAGCTGCCACGGAGTTGGTTCTGACTCATGGTGACTCTATGTGTGTAGAGTAGAACTGCTCCATGGGGTTTTTAAGGCTGTGACCTTTTGGAAGCAGATTGCCAGTCTTTTCTTCTGAAGCACGTGTGGGTGGGTTTGAAAGACCAATCTTTCAGCTAGTAGTCAAGTGCTTAATTGTTTGAGTCACCCAGGGACTCCTTCCTGGATTAGAAACCACCAAACCAAACTCATTGCCATTGAGTCAATTCCAACTCATAGCGACCCTATAGGGTGGACTCTAAATCCAATGACATGTGCTTAGGAGAGAAGAGAAGGGGAGAAGATACCAATATATCCAGAGAAAAAGGCCATGTGAAGGTGGGGGCGGAGATTAGAGTGATGCTGCCACAAGCCAAGGACCACTGGGAGCCACCAGAAGGTGGAAGAGGCAAAAGATTCTCCCCTAGATCTTTTGGAAGGAGCATAGCCCTGCCTATAGTACCTGCACAACTGGGAGAGGGTAACTGCCTGTTTTCTTAAGTCACCAAAACAAAAAAAAACAAAAAAAAACAAACCTGTTGCCATCGAGTCAATTCCGGCTCATAAAGACCCTAAAGTCACCAAATTTGTGATAATTTGTTACAGAAGTTCTAGGAAACTAACACACGGTGTATCTGGCAGGTCCTGGTTGCCTCACCTGGCAGGAATCTCTCCCATACTTCTCATCCCCAGCGCACACCACGTTTTGGGTGATCTGGTTAGGATAGGCACGCTCACACTCTTCATGAGGCACTAGGTTTACATGTGCACACTGGACGGTGTCAGGGAAATTACCTGTAGAGAGAAATGGACCAGGCTCATCCTACACCCTGCTCTTCCCATATTTCCTCTGTGCCCTCTCTTGTGGTTTTTTTCTAGAAGTCCCCCCCAACAATCTTCCAACCTCTATATATCCTACCCTGACCCCATTGGTCCACATTTCCCATTGGTTCCCTCTTCCTATTAATCTCTCATTTTTAGACCCCATTTCCATCATCTCTGCCTCCAGACTGGTCCTTTTTTCCATCATTCTTCCCTCCCCTATTGGCCTGTCTTCCTCAATAATCTTTTTTTCTCCATAAGCCCTCATTTCCTGTTGTTTTCCCCTTTCTTTTAGGTCCTGCCTTCACTTTTTTCTCTTCCATTGGTCTTACCTTCTTCAATAGTTCCTGCTGATCTATAGGACTCTCTTTATCCATTAGTCCTTCCTCTGTTGGACCCCTCTTTCTCATTAGTCTTTCTTTCATTGGCTCCTTCTTACACATTAGTTCATCCTGATTGGTCAGCACTTGCCCACTGATCCTTTTCTAACTGGCCCCTCCCTTTCCCATTGGCTCTCCTTTCCTATTAGCCCTCATCCAGTGGTTCACCTCCCTTACTGGCCCTTCACTCACAAGTCCACCTCCTTCAGTGGTTCCTGCTGATCTATTGGACTTGTTTCTTCCACTAGTCCTTCCTCTAGTGACTCCTCTTAACCACTGACCCTTTTCCCAATTGATCCCTCACCCATCAGCATGCTCTACCCCATTAACTCTCTCTACATGCCTCATTCAGTTGGCTATCCCTGCTTTATTAGTGTCTTCTCCTCCATTAATCACTCTTCCATCACTTCTTGCTCATTAACACATCCTGACTGATCCCTTTTGACCATTGGCCTCCTTCCTGATTAGTTTCTATCCTCTGATTTTCCCTTCCCATTGACCCTTCATTATGTGCCCATCTCTGCCATACCATTCACCCACCAGTCTACATTCCACTCATTGGCCTTCCTTCCACATTGGTCCTCCCTCTCCATTGACCCTTCACCCATTGATACACTGCTTCATTGGTTCTTACCATTAGTCCACTTCTCCTATAGCCCTTCACCTTGCCCATGCCCTTTTAGCATTGGTCCCCCCCCCCCATGGCCCTTCACCATTAGGCCACCTCCATCATAGCTCCTCACTCACTGCTCCACTTTCCTCATGGTCCCTCAACCATTGGTCCACCTCCCCCAGGGCCCCTCACCCATTGGTCTACCTCCCGCATGGCACTTCACCATTGGTCCATTTCCCTACTGCCTTCACCATTGGTCTACCTTCCCCATGGCCCTTCATCATTGGTCCACCTCACCCATTGGTCCACCTTCTCATGGCCCATCACCCATTGGCTGGCTCCCCCTACTGACCATCAGCTGTCTTGCCCCAGCCCAGGATTTGGCAGCTGGTTTGGCTGGAGAAGCAGTCCCTCTCCAGGGTCAGTGGCCTGATGAGGTCAGAAAGATCTGCTGGTCGCGCCAAGTGCAACAGCATGATGTCTTGGTCATGGCTGTCGCTGGAGTAGCCAGGGTGGGTCACAGTCTGGACAACAGAGATCTGCTCTGAGAGCTCTCAGTTTGATGAAGGTTGTGCTTCCCCAGGAAGACCTGAAGATTCCTGGAAAGGAGGAGGGCTGGGTCTTACCTGGAGCCCTTGGGCTGCAACTGAGGCTCTAACAGTGGGTTAGCCTGCTGTACTATGAATCATGTGACCTGCTCCTCCCAAAGTCTTCCCCAGCTCAGTAAATGACAACTCCATCCTTCCAGAGTAATCTTGGTGGTTATTCTTTTTTTTATGATTAAAAAAATTATTGTGATGAAAATTTACTTAACAAAACATATACCATTTTGACAAATTCCACTTGTACAATTCAGTAACATTGATTACACTCTTAAAGTTGTGCAACCATTCTCACAATCCTTTCCCAAATCATTCTACCACCATTAACATAAACTCAATGTCCCCTAAGCAAAAACTCCCACTTTCCCCTTCCTCCCACCCCTGGCAACCACTAATACATCTTTGATTTCTATATATTTGCTTTTTTCATGTAAGTGAGATCATACAATATTTTTCCTAGGGGTTTCTGTTTATTTCATGCCCCACATTCAAGCTGTCCAGAAATCCTTTTGGCTCTTCTTTAACAGTATATCCATAACCTGATCATTTCTCATCTCCCCTACTGCTACCATCTTGGTCTGAGCCATCTTCATTTCTCACCTGGCCTACAGTAGTAATTTCTTCATTGGATTCTCTACTTCTGCCTTTGCCCCCTTGCGTGCCTATTCACCATGCAGTATCCAGAGATAATTTAAAAACATAAGTTGGTCCTGTTCCTTCTCTGCTCAGAACCCTCCCAAGGCTCCCATCTCACTCAGAGTAAAAGCCAAAGTCCTCACCAAGGCCCACAGGACTCTGAGTCATCTGTACCCATCGTCTCTCAGATATTATACCCCTCACTCTCCCTTTCTCCTTCTGCTCCAGCCACACTGGCCTTTCGAGATGTGAAAGAGAGAAGCCAGCAGAGAGACATGGGGGACCTCCTACCATCAAGAATGAAGAACCAGGATGGGAGCACCATCCCTGCCCTGTGCTGAGAAGCCCCTAGCCCAGAGGAAGATTGATGACAAGGACCTCCCCTAGAGCCGACAGAGAGAGAGAGAGCCTCCCCTGGAGCTGGTGTCCTGAATTCGGGCTTTTAGCCTCATAGACTGTGTCTTAGGCATCTAGAGCTGCTACAGCAGAAAAACTACAAGTGGATGGCTTTAACAAAGAGAAATTTATTCTCTCACAGTCTAGTAGGCTGTAAGTCCAAATTCAGGGCATCAGCTCCAGGGGAAGTCTTTCTTTGTTGGCTCTGGAGGACGGCCCATATCATCAATCTTCCCTTGGCCTAGGAGCTTCTCCATGCAAGAACCTCAGGTCCAAAGGACACACTCTGCTCCCACGAGGTCCCCATGTCTCTTTGCTTCCTTCTGTCTTTTATATCTCAAAAGAGATTGGTTTAAGACACTATCTAATCTTGTAGATCTCATCAATATAACTGCCACTCATCAATACCATTATATCATAGTGATAAAATTTACAACACATACGGAAATCACAATCACAAAATGGAGGACAACCACACAATACTGGGAATCATGGCCTAACCAAGTTGACACATATTTTGGGGGAGCACAATTCAATCCATGACAGACTGTGTTAAAGTCATCCACTTGTGGTATTTCTGTTATAGCAGCACTAGATAACTAAGACAGCGGCCAAGCTCTTAACCACTGCGCCATATGTATGGTTAAATATTTGTTTATTTTATAGTCTCTCTGTTGCCCATAGCAGCACTGTCCAATAGAACTTTCTGTGAAGATGGAAATGTTCTGAAGATGGAAATGTTCTATACCTGTGCTGTCAGATACAGTGGCCACTAACCACAGGTGACTACTGGACACTTGAAATGTAGTCCATGAATTTTTAATTTAATTTAATTTTAATCAGTTTAATTTCAATTAACCACATGTAGCTAATGGCTACCATATTAGATGGCACAGCTCTCGAATGTCAAGGTGAGATTTTTATTTTGCTCAGATACAGTATCCCCAGTGCCTAGAACAGTGTCTGGCACATGATAGGTGTTTGATAAATATTTGTAAAATAAATCAAAAAGACACTCCATTGCTCAAAATTCTCCTATGGCTCCCCATTGCCCTTCAGATAAAGCCCAAGTGCCTCAGCCTGGCATTTGTGGCCCCAAATGATCTGGTCCCACCCACTCTTGAACTTTATATCCCACTACCCTCTGCCCTCCAGTGAACTGGTAACTTTCTTTTCTTAGAAAGAGCAATTCAAGTCTTTGGAAACGAACATGAACAATAGTTCCCACTATTGTCTTTACATTTCCTCTGCCCTGCTCTTTCCCCCTTCTTTAGTTAGCTACCTTTTTCATTTTTCATGTCTTGGCTTGAATGTCATCTCATAAGAAAGACCTTCCTGATCCTCCTTCATCTAAAGTAGATTTTCTTTTCTCTCATGGAACCATCCCTGTTCTTTTCCTCCTTTGGGCTTAGGGTAATTTGTAAATACATGGTTTTCCAAGGGCTTGTTTGCTTAAGAGCTATCTTTCTGCACCTTCTTATCGGTCCACCTTCCTTACTGAAAGGAGGTGTGTGTGCGTCTCCCACTCATCACTGCATCTCTAGTACTCAATGCAATACCTGACACTTAGCGGGTACACTTAATCAGTGTTTGTAGAATGAATGAGTAAGAGTAGTGGGAACCATCCCACGTGTCCCTGAGCTTGGGAGAGACCACATTCGGGGTGTTTGAGTCCATGACTCTGTATGACCACCCCCCCCAGTAAGAAGTGGCACGTGTTCGTTTCCAAAGACTTGAATTGCCCTTTCCTATTTCTCTGAGCCTCAGTTTCCTCATCTGCAAAAATGGGGGTGCTTATTGTAGGGCTGCTGAATGCAACACATGGCCCATAGTTAGGACAGAACAAAATGGCAGCTGTCATTAATATATCTAGTTAATATATTACATTATATTGTATTATTTTATCTATACAATATATCAGGGGCAAGTTTGCCTCCTCTCTTTTCCTCCCATACTATATGCCAGTGGCCATCAAGTCGATTCAGACTCATGGTGACCTCATGTGTGTCAGAGTGGAACTGTGCTCCATAGCATTTTCAATGGCTGATTTTTCCAAAGTTAATCACCAGGCCTTTCTTTCAAGGCACCCCTGAGTGGACTTGAACTTCCAACCTTTTATTTAGCAGCCAAGCACGTTAACCATTTGCACCACCAAAGGACTTCCCAATACTATATAGTATGATATAATATAAAGCTAGTTAATAATATAACTAGTTAAAATTAATATAACTAGTTATTATTAGTCCCTCAGGGTTTATTCCTGGGCCTTTTTCTCTCCTCTATCTATGCCCCATACTTGAATGACCTCATCTTTGATGAGGTTCACGACTTTAATAGCAACTGCTTTCTGATAACATCTTAATTTTTACCCTGTGTCCATGACTCTGCATGATGAGACTCCTCCCTCCACAGTGAGAAGGGGCAACTGTTGGTTTCCAAAGACTTGAGTTGCACCTTGCTACTTCACTGAGCCTCAGTTTCCTCATCCAATTTTACCTTCACCTCTACCCCGCTAATTTCTAACCACCTACCTAGCATCACTGCTTGGACATCTCCAAGCCATCTCAAATTTACCTTGGCCGAAACAAAATATCTGATGCTTCCCTGCCCAAACCCAACCTGTTTCTCTTTCCGTCTCCCCCAGCTCAAAGCAAGACACAATAACACACCCACTTGTTAAGGCTAAATACCTGGAAGTCAGCTTTGCTCCCTCTCTTTCCCTCCCATCCTACATCACCAAGTGCTGCTTGCTTAGTCTCAAAATATGTCTCAAGGTTTTCAACTTCCCTCCATTCCTACTCCTAACCACCCTGGTCCAAGCCACCATCTTGTGTCCTTAGGTGACTACAACAGCCTCCACATAGATCCCCTTGCTTCTACTCTTGCCCAGTCTACTTTCCATGTGGCAACAGGGTGCGGTCAAAATGTAAATCAAACAGTGCTGCTCCCCATTGCACTTAGAATTAAATCCAAATGCCTCACCCCTCTTTACAAGGCTTTGCATAATCAGAGTCCCTCATTAGAAAGTAAGTTCATGAAAGTGGCAAATTTCCTTGTTTCATTCACTGATGTATCCCCAGGGTCCCAACCAGTGCCTGGCACATATTAAGTACTCGATTAAATATTGACCAAATGAATGAGGCTAGCAGATGGCCTCCTGATGGGACAAGGGGATGTATTTGTCACCTCATCCCTGAAATCTCCAAGACACCCTCAGGATCTAACTGCAACCACTCCCCACACACAGCGTAAAGACTCACGGTTTTTTGCAGTGGGCAGCAGTGAGAACCCACTCTCTGTGAATGAGGACCCCGCCACAGAGCAAGTGGCCTGAGTTGTAGAGGGCAGCTTGGTAGGGGTGAGAACTCTTCTCACAGGATGATCCCTGCACCAACTTATTCTCCTCTGCCCAGGCTGAAGGAGAGAGGGTCTGAGTCAGAGAGGAGGTCTAGACTCCCAAGGTGAATGAACCCCAATCTCATCTTAACCATCAAGATCATCTCCATCTTAGCTCCCAAATTTATTCCCGTCCCCATCCCCAAACCCAACCCCATCCACAACCACTTTCCTAGTTTTGAACCTGTTTTATCCCCTTCTTCATCCATATCCCCATTCCCAAAGACAATCTCATCCTTAAATTTTTCCCTGTATTCAAACCACCCCCATCCCCTTTCCCATCTTTATCCCCATCCTCAAAACCAACCACATCCACAAACTCTTCCCCATCTTCAACCCTCCTCTCCCTTCTCCATCTATGTCCCCATCCCCCAAACCAATCCTATCTACAAACTCTTCCCTATCTTCAAACATCCCTACCCATCTGTATCCCCATCCGTAAACCAACCCCATCCACAAACTCTACCCCATCTTCAACTTTCCTCCCCCCTTCTCCATCTATATCCCCATCCCCAAAACCAACCCCATCCTGAAACTCTTCCCCATCTTCAACCCTCCTCTCCCTTCTCCGTCTATATCCGCATCCACCAAACCAATCTTATCTACAAACTCTTCCTTATCTTCAAACCATCCCTCCCTGTTTGTATCCCATCCCCAAAACCAACCCTATCCACAAACATCTTCAACCTTCCTCCCCCTTCTCCATCTATATCTCCATCCCTAAAGCCAACCCCGTCCTCATATTCTTCTCCATCTTTAAACCGACTTGCCATCTATTTCCCTATCTGTATCTCTATCCTCAATCCGATCTCTTCCTATCAACAACCCCGACCCCAAACCTCCTCCATTCCCATCCCATTTCTTCCCACCTGCTGTGATGAGAACCAGTGTTACACTCAGCATCTTCATAACCATTCCTAAGAGAGGAAGCCAGAAACTCCACTAGTCAGTGCCTCAGATTCCACCCAAGAATCCTCCCTCTTCTTCTCCCTGGCCTGCTATGCTCCTCTGACTCTTGATTTATGTCCTTCTCATCTAGGCTCCTGATGTCTCCTTTCCTCAACCCATGTCTTCCCTCTGAGGGAAGGCAGTCTTCAGAGAAAATCTGGAGCCACATTGGTTAACTCACAGTGTGATTTTGATTAAATCTTTCTATTTCTCTGGGATCTCATTTGCCTTCCTAGTAACAGGGGGAGGTTATCCTAGACAGACCCCTAGCTTTCTTCCCGCTCCAAATTTTTCCTCTGCACCTTGAATCTGTGCTCACCTGGTCACCCACCCTTACACCTGTAGGTTCTGGAACACGGGTGTGAGCTGGGGACAGGAGGACCTTACCTGCTGGGAGCTGGCTGCCTACTGGGTGAAACATAGTATCACAGGCAGAGAGGGAACCAGAGAGAGTCAGAAACGCAGGGAGCTACAAGAGAAAAGGGACTCGGAAAGCAGAGAGGACACCTCAGAATCAGAGGCAGACAGAGCAGGTGAGAGCAGAGGATGGAAGAGCTGCAGGGCCCAGGGCTGTGAGGGACTTCTCCCTGGAAGAGTCCAGTCCTGTTCCCAGACGCTCCTACTGCTTTTAACCCCTGTCTCCCCAGGTCCCTGAGGCAGGCTGACTGGTCCCACCCTTTTCCTCTTTACCTAGACATACATTCCTACCACCCCAATGGCCCTGCCCCTGATGACCTCCTGAAAGGAGCCTCTAAGGAGGGAACACTGGTCCCTGAGTGCTGATCTCTGGTCCTTGGTCTGGGGGAGGAGAGGACTGGGGGCCTGGACTCCTATGTCTGGGGGAGGAGAGGGCTGAGGGCCCAGACTCCTGGGTCTGAGGGAGAAGGGGGCCAGGGGCTAGACTCCTGGGCCTTAGGGAGAAAGGGTCTGGGGGCCCAGACTCCTGAGTCTGGGGGAGGAGGGGACTGGGACCTGGACTCCTGGGTTTGAGGGAGGAGGCAGGAGGGAGTCCAGACTCCTGAGTCTGAGGGAGGAAGGGGCTGGAGGCCTGGACTCCTGGGTTTGAGGGAGAAGGGGGTTAGGGGCCCAGACTCCTGGGTCTGAGGGAGGAAGAGCTGGGGACCTGGATTTCTGGGTCTGAGGGAGGAGGAGGCTGGGAACCTGACTTGTGGGTCTGAGGGAGGAGGGGGCTGGGAGCATCAACTCCTAGACCCTCAAAGGCAGAAGAGTCTTAAAGTCTGAACTTCTGAGTCTGAGAGGGAAGGAGATGGGGCTTGTTCTCATGAGTCTCCATATTTCTAGATTCTTGAGAAAGGATCTGAAGACCCAAATGCTAGCATCCCAGGCAAGCAATTGGGCAGCCCCCTCCGCAGACTCCAAGAGCCCCACCTTCTCCATCTGTGAGCAGTCAGGGACTTGCGGGCCTCACACCTAGGTCTGGAACCATGGGGCATTGGGAAATAGGCCACGTGGGTTCAGTGGGGTCAGGGCTGACTCATGCACCTGCACCTGCCGGTAAGTCCCTCTGTGAGTGCCGACAACCTCTGTGTCCCCACCAGAGAGAGCCTGTGCTCACGAGAACGTGTGTGTCACCATGCTGTCACCCCCCCTGCCTGGGTGCTGGGGTGCAGACCAGGCACTATGGGGACAGGGTCTTGAACAATCGGTCTTTGTCCACCTCCAGCACCCCAGTGCTGTGCTCCTGGCAGCTCCATTTCTCAACCTGTCTTCTGGGAAGGCAGCTAAGTCAATAGCTTCCTTTTGTCCCTTCCTTTTGCCATCCTGCTGCTGCCTTCTGACTGTCTACCGGCCTCTGCCTGGAAATTTCAGGACTCTGATCACTCTCATCCAAGTCTGTCCACCTCTGGAGGTCTCTCCCTCCATCTCTCTCCCTGGACATGGGTGGAGTGTCTCCACTTCTGTCTTTCTCTTTCTCTTTGTGCTTTTCTGTGTTCATCTCAGTCTCTGTGTTTGCGTGTGTGTCTCTCTGTCTCTCCATCTTTTACTCTGTGTCTCTGTCTCTATATCTCTATCTCTGCCTCTCTTTCAATTTCCTCTCCTTAAAAAGAATCTTTCCATTAATTCATTCTCTCTGTTCATCTCTTTCCCTCCCTCCCTTCATTCCTTCCCTTCTCCTTCCTTTTTTTAAAAAAAAACCTCATTCCCTCCCTCTCCTTCCATTCATTCTCTTTGTATCTCTTTCTTTGTTTCTCTTTTTCTTTCTTTCTTTCTCCTTTCCTTTAAAAAATTTTTTTCCCTCGCTACATCCCTCCCTTTCTCCTTCCTTCCCTCAGTTAATTCCCTCATTATCTGTTCTTCTCTCTCTTTTTCTCTCTCTCTTTCTACCTCCCGCTTTGCCTCTCTCCTCTCCTCTCTCTGTCCCTCCCTCTCTCTTTTCTTCTCCCTTTGATTCTCTAAGTCTCTGTTAACATTCCCCGAGTCTCCCTCTGTTTACCTCCCCCTGGGTCTCCCTCTAGATTTCCAGGAGAAATACATGTGCATGCATGCAGAAGAGTAGGTTCTTGGGGAGCTAGAAGGTGATGTGAGGAGCACAAGGGATGCTAGTGGAACATAGGAGATTTGAGGACTTGTTCACGAGACTCAGGGAAGTGAAAATAAACAGGAATGCAAGGAAATTGGAGAGTGATGTGAGCATTATGAAAAATGAAGATGTGGGGAAGCTATGGCCCTAGGGATCCATGAAGATTTGGGATGTGCTTTGAAAGTTGGGCCTTGGAAGAAGAGTAAGATGTTGGCCAGGAAGAGAGGGTATGAGAATGTTGGCACATGCTGGAAGCAGCAGGGAGTCATTGGTGTGGCCTGGAAGAACGAGGGTGTGTATGTATGAGTGGAAGGAAATGAAAACGGGAGTGGCGGTCACCAGGGACAGGGGAGATGCAGGGTGTGTGAATGGAAATGAGGACTTACAGGGAAGTTGTTGGGTAACAAAGACAAAGACATAAATAATGTCCACCTCAGTGTCTGCTTGCACCTGATATTACGGGAAGCATTTTTTTGTGTGAATTAAATCTAGTTGTCGAACGTCATTAACCATTAATTAAGGAGATGTGAATCAAAACCACAATGACATATCATCTCATCCCCATTAGAATGGCAATGATCAAAACAAAACCAAAAACAATAGGTGTTGTTGAGGTTATGGAGAAACAAGAACCCTCATCCACTGCTGGTGGGAATGTAAAATGGTGTAGCCTCTGTGGAACAGTTTGGCGGTTCAAAAAGTTGAACACAGAGCTACCATGTTGTTGTTGTTATTAGTTGCTGTTGAGTTGATTTTGCCTCATGGCAGCCCTACATGTACAGAGTAGAACTGTGCTCCATAGGGTTTTCAAAGCTGTGATCTTTTGGAAGCAGATCAGCAGGCCTATCTTCTGAGGCACCTCTGGGTGGATTGAACAGACAACTTTTCTGTTAGTAGTAGAGCACTTAACCATTTGCACCATATGACCCAGCTTTCCACCCTTCCCCCGTGCATCTGTCAGTTTGTTGTACTGTGGGGCCTTGCGTGTTGCTGTGATGCTGGAAGCTATGCCACTGGTATTCAAATACCAGCAGGGTCACCTACAGCAGACAGGTTTCAGCTGAGCTTCCAGACTGAGACAGACTAGGAAGAAGGACCCGGTGGTCTACTTCTGAAAAGAATTATCGAGTGAAAACCTTATGAATAGCAGTGGAACACTGTCTGATATAGTGCCAGAAGATGAGGCCCTCAGGTTAGAAAGCATTCAAAATACAACACAGGAAGAGCTGCTTCCTCAAAGTAGAATTGACCTTAATGATGCGGATGGAGTCAAGCCTTTGGGACCTTCGTTTGCTGGTGTGGCATGACTCAAAATGAGAAGAAACAGCTACAAACATCCATTAATAATTGGAACGTGGAATGTACAAAGTATGAATCTAGGAAAATTGGAAATAGTAAAAAATGAAATGGAATGCATAAACATTGATATCCTAGGCATTAGTGAACTGAAATGGACTGGTATTGGCCGTTTTGAATAGGACAATCATATGGTCTACTATGATGGGAATGACAACTTGAAGAGGAATGGGGCTGCATTCATTGTCAAAAAGAACATTTCAAGGTCTGTCCTGAAGTACAACGCTGTCAGTGACAGGAAAATATCCATACACATACTAGGAAGACCAGTTGGTACAACTATTATCCAAATCTATGTACCAACCACTAAGGCCAAAGATGAAGAAATTGAAGATTTTTACCAACTTCTGCAGTATGAAATTGATCAAACATGCAATCAGAATGCATTGGTAATTACTGGTGATTGGAATGCGAAAGTTGGAAACAAAGAAGAAGAATCTGTAATTAGAAAATATGGCCTTGGTGATAGAAATGATGCCAGATATTGCATGATAGAATTTTGCAAGACCAAGGACTTCTTCCTTGCAAATACCTTTTTCCACCAACATAAATGGTGACTATACACTATACACGTGGACCTTGCCACATAGAATACACAGGAATCAAATCAACTACATCTGTGGAAAGAGATGAAGGAAAAGCTCAATATCATCAGTCAGAACAAGGCCAGGGTCAGACTGCAGAACAGACCATCAACTGCTCATATGCAAGTTCAAGTTGAAACTGAAGAAAACTAGAATAAGTCAACAAGAGCCAATGTAAGACCTTCAGTATATCCCACCTGAATCTAGAGACCATCTTGAGAACAGATTTGACTCATTAAACACTAATGACCAAAGACCAGATGAGTTGTGGAATGGTATCAAGGACATCATACAAGAAGAAAGCAAGAAGTCATTAAAAAGACATCAAAGAAAGAAAAGACCAAAATGGATGTCAAAGAAACTCTGAAACTTGCTCTTGAACATTGAGTAGCTAAAGAGAAAGGAAAAAATGATGAAGTAAAAGAGTTGAACAGAAGATTTCAAAGGGCAGCTTGAGAAGACAAAGTAAAGTATTATAATGACAT